TAAATTGTACATTTCATAACCGCCTGCCAAATAACCGTATGCTTCATATGAGTGACTTAGGGCAGCTGAAGACAAGACTGATTTCTGTCCACTCCTGAGTACCCACTGCAAACTCCCCTTCCTTTTCAAAGCCCCTTATCTACATACTAGCGGTTTAATCCCACTTTATAAATTTTAGCCTTCTCAGAGGAAAACTTATCAGAGGTTATAGATTATGTAAATCACTTGATAAAAATCTCCTACAATGTTTCTTCACACAATTACGTTCCCTGTAAGCTACTAGCCTACCAAAGCCTGATGATATTTTTTTTTTTTGCTAGTCCTGAATCTTGAACTCAGGACCTGGGCATTGTCCCTGAGCTGCTTTTGCTCAAGGCCAGCACTCTTCTACTTGAGCCACAGCATCACTTCTGGCCTTTTGTTTATGTGGTACTGAGGAATTAAACCCAGGGACTCATGCATGCTAGCCAAGTACTCTACCACTAAGCCACATTCTCAGCCCCCGATGATACTTTTATTAAACTCTAGAAACATCTCTCTGTGTGTCTGTCTGTCTGTCTCTGTCTCTCTCTCTTATTCTCTCTGCTGGTACTGGGGCTTAAACTCAGGGCCTTATGTTTTCTGACTCAGCTTTTTCACCATTTGAGCCATAGCTCCATCTCTGGCTTTTCGATCATTAACTAGAGCTAAGAATCTCTCAGATTTATCTGTCCTGGCCAGCTTCAACCATTATCTTCAGAGCTCAGCCTCCTAGATTGCTAGGCTTACAGGCATAAGCCACCAGCTCCTTGCTCTTCAAACTATGTGAAACATTTCTTGCCTCTTCAAATTATGTGTGAGGCAGGAAAGAGTAGTTTTCAAACAATCAGAAACAACATCATTGTGTTTGAATATTTGTGATTTTTCTTTTCTTTCTTTTCTTTTGCCAGCCATGGGTCTTGAACTCAGGGCCTGGGCGCTGTCCCTGAGCTTCTTTTGCTCAAGGCTAGCACTCCACCGCTTGAGCCACAGTGCCACTTCCATTTTTTTTCTGTTGATGTGGTGCTGAGGAGTCAAACCCAGGGTTTCATGCATGCTAGACAAGCACTCTAGCACTGAGCTACATTCCCAGCCCTTGTGATTTTTCTAAAAGCTTACCAATACTGTCCTCCAGGTGACACTAACAGATTAAAGAACACTAATTATTACATGCAGATAATGGCACAGCATTTACATTATAAAGGAAACAAGCTAATATAGCTGAAAATGGACTCCTCCTTAATATCAATATCCTAGTAGACTGTACCTCAGAGGGGCCCAGGCCAAGAGAACCAAGTTTCAAGGTCAGAATAATGACATCACATCACCCCACACCCCGGTACCCTGCTCCACCCTCGCTACTGTCCACTTACCTGCCTTTCCACTGCCCTGAAAAAAAGCCCACATAAACTCAGAGGGAGAGCATTCACTTCCCAAAAGTTCTAGCTAAGGTTTATGATATTAACAAAATGAGGCTTGGATGGCCCTGCCTAACATTCATTAAAAATTTAATCTCAGGGGTGGAGTGCTTGCCTAGAGACTCAAGAACCTAGGTTCAGTCCCCAGCACCAAACACACACACACACACACACACACACACACACACAATTTAATCTAGGTTAAGTGCAGTGGCTCATGCCTATAACACCAGCTACTTGAGAAGCAGAAATCTGGAGGACAGTAGTTCACCATCAGGGAGACCCCATCTCAACAAACAGTCTGGGTTTGGCAGCAAGCACTTATCATCTCAGTTATGAGGAAAGCATAAACAGAAGAACCACAGTCCAGGTCAGCCAGGGCAAAAACAAGGCTCTACTGTAGAAATAGCTACAATAAAAAGGGTTAAGGGAAGGTGGCTCAGTGGTAGAACGCTTGCCTTGCATGCCAGAGGCCCTGGGTTCGATTCCTCAGCACCACATAAGCAAAAAGAAAAAAGCAGGAAGTGGCACTGTGGCTCAAGTGGTAGAGCGCTAGCCTTGAGCTGAAGAGCTGAGGGACAGCGCCCAGGCCCAGAGTTCAGGCCTCACAACCAGACCCAAAAAATAAAAGGGTTAAGGGCATGGTTCAAGTAGTAGAGTACCTTCCTATCAAGCTCACAGAGTTCAAAACCCTACTAATGCTAAAAAAGAAAAATAACAATCTAGAAACTAATTTAATGGGTGAAAAACTGTTCTCCATTTATCAATAAATATGTTCCATTAACTTGGATAATATATTGTTCAGGAGACCGGAGTACACACGGGTCATTGATAAGAGTACTTGCTTACAGCAATGTTCAAAGCCCCAGGTTTGATTCCCAGCACTGAAAGAAACACAATAAAAAAATAAATAAAAGATGATCCAGGCACCGGTGGCTCATGCCTGTCATCTTAACTACTCAGGAGGCTGAAATATGAGGATCACTGCTCAAACCCAGCCAGGTGGGAAAATTCATGAGATTCAGCTCCAATTAAGCACCAAAAAAGAAAGCCAGAAGTGGAACTGTGGCTTAAGCAGCCGAGTGGTAAGCCTTGAGCAAAAACAAAAAAAAGGAAAGAAAAAGTTCAGGAACAGTGCTCAGGCCCTGAGCTCAAGCCCCAGGACCAGCACAAAAGCAAATGAAAATAAAAAATAAAAGATGAAACACTTGTGAGACGTGGTGGTACACACCTGTAATTCCAGCACTCAGGAAGCAGAGGCAGGGTCTCAGATTCCTCCTGAGAATCCCTCCTGTCCAGCCTGGGTTACATGTCCTTATCTCAAAAAAAACTTTTTTTCAATTTGATAGTAGAAACTGGCATAGTGATTTTTTTTTTTTTTTGGGGGGGGGGTCCCGGTTGTGGGGCCTGAACTCTGGGCCTGGGCGCTGTCCCTCAGCTCTTCAGCTCAAGGCTAGCACTCTACCACTTGAGCCACAGCGCCACTTCCGGCTTTTTTCCTTATATGGTGCTGAGGAATCGAACCCAGGGCCTCAGGCTTGCAAGGCAAGCACTCTACCACTGAGCCACCTTCCCAGCCCCATGGCATAGTGATTTTTAAAAATATCTTTTTAAATAAGAGTTAAGTAGTTTGTCATAATTCTAATGAAAAACAGTACTTAAACTGAATATTAAATACTAAATGGTTTCCCCAAGCATTTCTGATATTATTATAAATTTCTAATGTACTGAAGGGTTTCTTTAGTTTGTAACATGCTACCTTAATGACTCAGAAAAATCTGTGGACATAAGGAGCTAGTTGTGGAAAAGCATTTTTCTCAAACCTGTTTTTGAAAAACAAAGTTTTTTTATTTCAGTTCACACTAAATTTGGAGAATATCAGTCCATCCTTTCATTTCCCATCTCAAGTCGTGTCAGGTTTCTAATGGCTCCAGCATGCATTTTGTAGACATTTTCCTTAATCTCAAATCACCTTCCATTAAACCCTACTCTTTTTTTTGTTGGTGAGGAGAGGACTTAAACTCAGGGCCTGGGTAATTATCCCTTAGCTTTTTAGCTCAAGACTGGCAATTTATTACTTGAGCCACAGCTTCATTTGTGGCTTTTTGCTGGCTGATTAGAGATAAAAGCCTCAAAAGACTTTCCTGCCAAGGCTGCCTTTGAACCTTGATCCTCAGATCTCAGCCTCCTGAGTAGCTAGAATTATAGGCCTGAGCTACTGGCACCCAGCCATCCCTTCTTTCTTTATTCCCCAAAGGGCTCAGGACACTGCAGCCTTCAAGCTCCACTCACAGGGTCAATAAGGTCCTGGCCAAAATGTCCAGAGGCGGCCTCAACTTGCATAATCCCAGAATGCAGTTACTAGGCTAAAGAGACTCACACAACTGACTTGTTGTGTGACTAGGGTCAGTTTTGTTTCTGTAAAATTCACAAAAAGATAAGTATTCCAAATGTATGTCTTTTAAAAAGAACTCAGAATTTCTTAAAAGTTCAGACCCCAAACCTAGACTGACTCCTGATTTAAATGAGTAGTCTTTAAGTAAACCCATATCTGCACGCCAAAATCGCTAGAATGCTGACAACAGAATCACCAATGAATCACTAAATAGACCTGAGTGTTGCCAGTCATTTAGATATGTAACAAGAGAACTGCAGGAAAGATAACTAAATAAGTATCTTTCTTACTTAGACAATCTAAATAGGGGCTTCCACTTTGTTTCTATATACTAATTACACCATAACCTCTAAAAAGAATTTTTCAGGTGAGTCTAAAATATTAGGGATCATTTGGTTTGCAGGTTTGGGGTGTTTTGCCTGTTTTATTTTGCTGGTCTGACAGCTTGAACTCAGGCCTGGGCACTGTCCTTGAATTAGGCTAGTGTTCTACCCAAATGAGCCACAGCTCCATTTCCAGCTTCTTAGTAGTTAATTGGAGATAAGAGTCTCTCAGACTTTCTTGTCCGAGCTGGCTTCGAACCTCAATTCTCAAATCTCAGCCTCCTGACTAGCTAAGATTACAGGCAGGTTTTCTCCCCCCCCCCCTTCCTTTAAGAGATGGCTACCTTTAGATCAACATTCAGATTTGTTACAAATTGCCTACAAATTAAATGCAGACTTCAGTGTATCACATAAACACTTTCCCCATTCCTTCCTCCCTCCCCCGGAATCTCTAAATCTTCTGGAGGTCTCCAGTGGAGTCCCGGGGGAGAGAGAGGGGGGGTCTTCCCAGGTGTCAGGATGATGATGACAGCCGCGGTTGTAGATGTACCAGTGACCTTGACACAGAGAAAAGTTAATAGTCATTTAGAAAAAGCCTAAGAAAACAGGCAGAGATGATGGCTGGCCAGGGAGGGAGGTGGTAACCCCGATCTCCAAGTCTCTGAAATGTGCTTGGTGCCTTAGAAAATGCAGGTGGTGTCTGTCGCTCCCTGATGTTTTATTAGGGTGTGGCTGGGCTCCCCGACTCCTCCACCGGAAGTCAAAGCTGCGGAATCCATCTAGGAGGGGCTAGGGAACGCAAAGGCACTGGCCCGCCCCGGGGTCACCTCTCCTGGTAACCTCCAGGCAGACACATCCAGACATCCAACCTGGGGCTTCCCCCCGGGGAGAAGGACCCCCACACCCTCTTCTTCCAGCCCTCTTAACGCCAAGACTGCAAGAATGGAGGGAGGGGGGGTGTCTTTGCACATAAAGCCAGACCAAGGGTGCAAGAGATGGGAATTACACAGGTTTCAGGTCGAGAAAAGTAGGCGAGAGGCAGGGCACCCCTCCACCAGGCGGTTCTTTATTACAAGTTGGTGAAGGGTGGAAGGCGAGGTGAGGGGTGAACCCCACCCCGCCCCACCCCGGGGTCCGGGAGAACGACCTAGAAGCAGGAACGTGGCTCCCTCGTGTTTTCCCGGGTACACACACACACCACACACACCACACCCCAGCCCCGGAGCTGGGATGCGGCGACCCTCCGTCCCCTGGGGTCACTCCCTTCCCTGCAGAATTGCCATCGTGACCCCGAGCCCCCCAAGTGCCGCCTCCCCCGGAGACCCCGCCCCACACCCCGGATCCGGGCCTCAGGAAATGGCGGGGCGACCCAGCTGGGCGCGGGAAGAAGCGCGGGTCTGCGCGCCCCGCGGGGTCGCCGCGGGCCCGGGGCTGGAGGACGCCGCCCCGCCACCCCATCTTTTCTTTTCGCTCTCCTGCCGGGCTCCCCATCACCCCCGACCCGCCCGGGCTCGTTCCGAAGCAGCCTCTCTCACCGCCTTCATGGCGGAGGCCATGTCATCGTAGCGCTCCGCCTGCTCGGCCAGCCGCGCCCGCTGCAGCAGCTGCTCTCGGTCCCCCATGTCGTCGTGCGCTCAGCCTCCCCGGGCGCTCGGCACCGCTGCGATCCCGATCCCGGCTGGCGATCCCGGCTCGCGATCGCTCCCGGGGCTCCGCGGAGGCAGGCGGCGCACGCGCACTGGCTCGCAGGCGGGCCGCAGCTGCAGGCAGCGCCGCTCGCGCCTTTCTCGCTGGCTCGCCCGGCGCGCAGTGGCTCCGAGGATGCCGCGCAGGGAGGACTGGCGAGCGAGGGTGGGGGCGGGGAAGGGCGCGGGGAGGGGGGGGGGAGGGAGGACCGGAGTGGACGACGCCTGCGCGGTCGGAGAGGCCCGGCTGGGCGGTGGGGAGCCGCGGCAGTGGGAGGGGGGGTGAGAAGGGCGGGCCCACCCTAACGGTCTATTTCAAGGTGACGTCACCTACTATAAATAGCTCCCGCCGCCCCGCGCCCGGAAGCCGCGCCTGCGCTCTGCGCTTGCTGCAGTTTTGCCGCCGCAGAGGTGGAGGTGGGAGAGAGTAAGAACGTGGTGGGCGGGGGGTTGGGGGGGTGATGGCGGCTCTGTCCTTGCTGTGCGTTGTCACGACCCCACCCTGAAAAGTCGCCACCGAATCTACGTTAGAAATGGGACTTGAGAAAGACCCCCACATGAGAAGAGCAACGGGGGGGGGGGGCGCGTGCACCCCGGGGCGCGGTGGCCGGGCCCGCCCGTCCGTCTGTCCCGCTGTCCAGCCCCGCTGTCCAGCCCGGAGGATCTGCACCGCAGGGCCACACCCTGCACGCCTGCACCACGGCCAGCTCTGGCCAGGGGCAGGATCGCGCCCAGCCATTGGGGCCAGGCCCGCTGCACACACACACACACCACACACACACACACACACCACACACCAGCCCCGCTACACACACACACACACACTGGACACACACCACACACCAGCCCCGCTACACACACACACACACACTGGACACACACCACACACCAGCCCCGCTACACAAACACACCAGCCCCGCTACACACACACACACACACACACACCACACACACCACACACACACACACACACGACACACACCACACACACACACACACCACACACCAGCCCCGCTACACACACACACACACACTGGACACACACCACACACCAGCCCCGCTACACACACACACACACACTGGACACACACCACACACCAGCCCCGCTACACACACACACACACACTGGACACACACCACACACCAGCCCCGCTACACAAACACACCAGCCCCGCTACACACACACACACACACACACACACCACACACACCACACACACACACACACACGACACACACCACACACACACACACACCACACACCAGCCCCGCTACACACACACACACACACACCATCCCCGCTACACACACACACCACACACACACACACTGGACACACACACATACCACACACCAGCCCCGCTACACACACACACACACACCAGCCCCGCTACACACACACACACACACTGGACACACACACACACCACACACCAGCCCCGCTACACACACACACACACACACCAGCCCCGCTACACACACACACACACACTGGACACACACACACACCACACACCAGCCCCGCTACACACACACACACACACCAGCCCCGCTACACACACACACACACACTGGACACACACACACACCACACACCAGCCCCGCTACACACACACACACACACTGGACACACACACACCACACACCAGCCCCGCTACACACACACACCACACACCAGCCCCGCTACACACACACACACACACACACTGGACACACACACACACCAGCCCCGCTACACACACACACACACACAGGACACACACACCACACACCAGCCCCGCTACACACACACACACACACTGGACACACACACCACACACCAGCCTCGCTACACACACACACCAGCCCCGCTACACACACACACACGAGACACACTGGACACACACACACACCACACACCAGCCCCGCTACACACGCACACACACACCAGCCCCGCTACACACACACACACAGGACTCACACACACCACACACCAGCCCCACTACACACACACACACACACCAGCCCCGCTACACACACACACACAGGACACACACACACCACACACCAGCCCCGCTACACACACACACACACACACACTGGACACACACCACACACCAGCCTCGCTACACACACACACCAGCCCCGCTACACACACACACACGAGACACACTGGACACACACACCACACACCAGCCCCGCTACACACACACACACAGGACACACACCACACACCAGCCCCGCTACACACACACACACACTGGACACACACACAACACACACGACACACACACAACACACAGCAGCCCCCCTACACACACACACACCAGCCCCACTACACACACACACACACACACACTGGACACACACACACCACACACCAGCCCCGCTACACACACACACACACTGGACACACACACAACACACACGACACACACACAACACACAGCAGCCCCCCTACACACACACACACCAGCCCCACTACACACACACACACACACACACTGGACACACACACACCACACACCAGCCCCGCTACACACACACACACACTGGATGAAGTGGCACACACACACACACTGGATGAAGTGGCCTTCCAGACAGGGACAAGTAACACGCAGGACACATCTGCTAGGCTTGCAAGCCCAGTGCGGGGCGTGTATGGACATGAATCTACTGAATTTTCACAACCCACTAAGCTGGGCTCCCATTTTTTCAAAGCAAAAAATGTAAAGTGAGGTAACTGCTCAAGGTTCTAACATCCTGTGAGTGGAGGGGGTGACAGAGATCTGATTTCCTGGGCTGACAAAAAGAAGGATGCGGAAGGTCACTGTGCTCCTGGCATTCCTTGGGGAGGATCCCTGGGCCAGACCTCCACAGGCCAGGCCAATCCCAGACAAAAACATGGCCCAAGGGCGAACTAGAGAAGGGGTTTTTGAGCAACCTGTATGCACAGCCCAGCTTCTGAGTAACTAATATTAAATACAAGTGAGAGGCTGGGTACTTGTGGCCCACACCTGTAATCCTAGCTACTTAAGGAGGATGAGATCTCAGTACAAAGCCTAAGCAGACAAGATTTTTTTTTTGTTGGTCATGGGGCCTGAACTCTGGGCCTGGGTGCTGTCCCTCAGCTCTTCAGCTCAAGGCTAGCGCTCTACCACTTAAACCACAGCACCACTTCCGGCTTTTTCTGCTATATAGTGCTGAGGAATTGAACCCAGGGCCTCATGCATGCAAGGCAAGCACTCTACCATTGAGCCACTTTCCCAGCCCTGACAAGATTTTTTTTTTTTTTTTTTAATCTCCAGTTAACTACCAAAGCCCTAGAAGTAAAACTGGGGCTCAGGTGGTAGAAGACACGCCAGGCACTAATCAGGTCTGTAATCCTAGCTACTCAGGAAACTGAGATCTGAGGATCAAAATTTGAAGCCAGCCCCAGGCAGGAAAATCTTTGAATCTCTTAAAAGCCAGAAATGGAGCTGAGCTCAAATGGTAGTATATTAGTCCTTGAGAGAAAAAAAAAAAACCTCAGGAGCAGCACCCAGACCAAGTTCAAAAAAAGAGACTGGAGTACTTTACATTTCAGGCTCAAGATTGAAGGCTTTATCCTTGTCCTTAATTGAGAACTACTAAAACCGCATTTCCAGTTCTGTGTGTTTGCTTTGGGGAGTTTTTTTTTTGTTGCTGTTGTTTTGTTTTTGTTTTGTACTAGGCCTTGAACTCAGGGACCTGTTTGCTCACTGCTGGTGCTCTACTACTTGAGCCACACCTCCAACTCTGCTTTTTGCTGGTTATTTTGGATACGAAATCTTTCAAACTTGTCTGCCTCAAATAGCTTTGAACTTTGATCTCAGCCACCCTAAGTAGCTAGTATTGAGCCAACAGTACCCAGCCAGGCCAGAAATCTTGTTCCGTAGAGTTAGCTGCTTTAGAAGAGAGCAGGGACTGGGGAGGACTTCTCTTTCTGGACCTGTTTTGCCATGTAGGAGATTGGACTGATACTGTTAAAAGGATTGGCGAATAGGACTAGGAATGTGGCTTAGTGGTAGAGCACTTGCCTAACATAAATGAAGCCCTGGGTTCGATTCCTCAGTACCACATAAATAGAAAAAGCCAGAAGTGATGCTGTGACTGAAATGTTAGAGTGCTAAGCCTTGAGCAAAAGAAGCTTAGGGACAGTGCCCAGGCCCTGAGTTCAAGCCCCAAGACTGGCAAAGAAAAAACATAAGTAAATTTTAAATATAAATTTAAAAAAAAAAAGG